AGTTTGGGTGGACCTGTTTCGTTTTCATTTTCCTGTGTACTTGTCGTCTACTTGCTTGTTTGGCGACTTCTTGTCGTCTACTGGTTCGTTTGGGCGACTCGTTTGTCATCTCTGCTCGATTTGGCATGTTGTGAAACATTATCCTCATCCAAGGACGGCACACGTAAACTTACCCTGGAGTAGACTTACCGGGCAGAGTGAGCGTGTACACCGCTTAGCGGGTTTGTTGTTTACTTTAGGTTACTGAGTTGACTTTCTGTGGATGTTCTGAGAATGTCTGGCGAAGAGCGGCGGAATGATGGTGGAGCCCCGGGTGGGGGTGGCGGTGGGGAACGAAGACCTTATCGAGCACCTACATCCTTTAACTGCGATGAAGTCGGGCACTATGCTAACCAGTGCCCGCATCGTAATCGGAGGCCTTATAGTTCAGCCAGGCCGTCTACCTCAGCCGACTCACGGCGTTCAAGATCACCTCGAAGATATGACCATTGGCACCGAACCTCTCCATCGAAGGACGCTGAGATGCGGGCGCAGGTCGCTGAAATGGGGTGGAATTATGCCATAATGAAGGAACATTACGATATGGAGCGCAAGCATAAGGAAGAGAAAGCACGTCGTAAGCAGGAGAAAGAGGAGGCGAAAAGACTGGAAGTGGAGGAAAAGGAGAGGCAAGAAAGGAAGGCTAAGAAGAAGATGGAAAAGTTGCGTAAAGAGGCTGAGCAGCGCGCGGAGCTGAGTAAGGACTTGCGGATGCAGATGAAGATGGACATGTTCCAGTTAAGAGATGTGATGCGTGAGGAATTTGTTGAGCAAATACGGGAGGTGATGTTGCCGGTGAGTAAGCAGCGGACCCGAGGAAAGGACAAGGTGATTTTCGAATCGGATAAGGGATCAGCTTCCGATGAGGGTGAAGTGATACCAGCGTGACGCAGGAGATTGAGGAAAATACTCGGAGACTCTGCATTGCTGAGAAGAGGAAACGAGAACCGGAGACACATTTTGAAGGAAGCCCACCGATGGAACTTCCGCCGAAGCGCACGCCTAAGAGAGGCGTACTGAAGCTAGTGAAATTGTGCGCACGGCTGACTCGCTCGAAAGCGAAAGGAGCAAAGAAACCGGGCTTGGCTAAGAAGGGAACGCCGGTGAAGACACCACTGTCTGGCCGTAAAGCAGTTAAGACCAAGACCCCTGTGGCGAAGTCCACCACTGCTAAAGGGCCCTTGGTCAGGATCCGGTATATGAATCGAACGATGAAGGAGTTGAAGGATCTGGACGCCACCGAATTGAAGAGGATCTGTAAGGAGGTTGGGGTACACTATGATAAAAAGGTGAATGCAATTTTTGACATTGCGGAGCATCGAGCAAGGTTGAACTTCAGGGAGGAGCAACCAGCGGAGGAGGCGATAATGCCAGTGGAATCGGAGACAAGCGAAGTACCTCCAGAGGAGGAATTGGAGTGAGGAAACTTCAGTGTGTCGCGCTTATGGCAGCTTTACAGAATTTTGACGAAGGAGAGATGTAAGTCTTTTGCGGTATATCAAAGGCTTGAGCGCGTACTGAGATCAGCCATTATTTTGTTGTCTTTGGGTAATCATATCACATGGACACGTAAGTTTGTGCATAAGTGGCTAGAGCTGTACGAACGACATGGGATTGAGTTCCTGGATTTGAAGTGTTGCGTTTACATCGCCATTTCTCCTTACTGCAAACGCTTTTACGTGGGCAAGACGACTAGGGATGCTAACACTCGTTCGCGTGAGCACGTGTATGCATGTAGGACACGTAGCCAGTCCCACTTTCATCGCTGGTTGGTTTCCTTTGGCATCGGTAATTATGTGTTAATTCTGATTGATGTCTTTGTGGGGACATATTTAAATAAGTTAGAAGAGCTATATATAGCACAATGGTCCCCCTTCTTGAACACATCGGGTAATAGAAGGAAACCTGCGATGTTCGGGAAGTGTTGCAAGCGAGGGAAGCAGGAGCGTTGTAAGTTTAGGGCAGGAAGGATAGTGGGGCACGAAGTCAAACCCATTCGTTTTCAAAGATCTGGTTCTAACAAGTGGGAAGTGGACTTCTATTGCCTCCTTGACGATATTCTAGCACATGGGAATCAGAGAGCGCAAAACCGGGTAGAGGCGGGTAATGTGTGGTGCCCAGTTTGGAAGAAGCTTACGAGATCCTTTGGTGATACTAAGATAAGAAGTAATGGTCGTGAGGTCCTACTGAGGCATAGCAAGCAGTTGATAGAAGCCGGTGGCTACTTTAAGGTTGTGCATGTGTGCAAATGGAAGCCGCGTTGTTGTTTCCTGAAATTTGTGCTGATCGGCATTTTGAAGAATCCGCGTAAGCTTGCTGACTTGTATGAATGGAATATGCGCTCATTACTTCGTGTCTATAACGTTATCAAAGATTTTAGTCGGAAGTCCACTAGAAAGTATTTGAGACGACTTATCTCCCGTGTCTTTCATGAGCGTTTTGATCTCAGTCTTGCTGCTGACCTAATCTTTCGAATAAAATTTGATAAACGAATTAGGATCTCGGAGTTCCGTAAAGTCGCTAATGATATGCTAATGAGTTGTGATTTGCCTCTATGCTTTTTACGAAGAGCGAGAAGGAAGATGCGTATTGTTTGGGTTAAAAATCCATCAATCGCTGATGTTTTGCACAATCAACGTCGCCATGCGGCACGTAATGTGCTTGTCTGTAACTGTTCAGACTTACCCTTCCCGCGTCGGGATGGACACGTTTCCTTCCGTCTGAGTGAGCCTGAGGGAATTCACCCTCTTCTGTACAATGCGAAGAATATCCCGAGGATTGAGATTAGCGATAGATTACCAACTCTGTGTGAAGAAATGAGGAGTGGGTTTAAAAGATGGCATAATTGCAGGGATGAGCCACCGCCTGTGTCAATACATACACTCAGTAAGTGTATTAGCTGTTCTACTGAGGGAGCGAGTACGCTGCCTATGAAGCTTGTCATCGATCTGAAGCAACGATTGGATGGGTTGGTTGTCACACCGGTTGATCGTAACCCGGGTGAGTCAGTTGTGCTGTGTCGGGCGTTGTATCACAAAGCCATGTTGGAAACCTTTGTGTATAACCCCGGTTACAGCATTGTGAAGTTTTCGGAAGAAGAATTGCGTCGAGAGATCAGGGAGGACATGTGCAACAAAGGTTTGCAGAAGTTTGCGAGGTGGGATAAGAAGGGAAAGTTTGGTTCCGCTTACGTTATTCTGAAGCAGAAGGACTTGAATAGGTTCTGACCTATTTGTCCCTCCTATATTGAGCCCATGGTTAAGACCGGCAAGGTGGTTGCAAAAGGGCTCAACTACATGTTGAACACCTTACCAAAGAACTGGCATTTCAACTTACCTGCGGTGGCTGGTTTAGCTGCTAGGCTATCCGTTGCTAATCGAAAGATTTTGCGTTCGAGTGCGGGTCGTGCGATCGAAACCAGATGTTTTGACATCAAAGAGATGTTTAGTAAATTACCGCACGAAGAAATATTGAGAGCAGTTGATTGGTTAGTCGAGTATCATTTGAGCAAGGATAGATCTTTTGTTCGAGTGAACACCAGGGGTAAGGGTATCAGTTTTGGGACCACCAAGGGTGGTGATCATTGGAGGCGTCTGGAGCTGACAGACATTCGAAGTTTTATTCATATCGACATGGAACATACCTACTTCTTCGCGACCGGGGTTCTTTTAAAACAGGATTTGGGTATTCCGATGGGTAGGAGCACCAACCCTCCCCTTTCATCTATTTTGTGTGCTTATTCGGAATTTGTGTTTACCAGTTCCCTGGGTGGGACAGCCAAATACATTTGTGCATCCAGGCTTATCGACGATGTTATGGTGTCTGTTTTTTGCAAGGACGAAACCATTTCCGAAATGATTTGGCAAACCTTTGAGCGTTGTTACCCAAGGAACCTGTTGTTAAAACGGACTGATGATGGTTCAAGTTCGTTTGAGTTCCTCGGTTGTGAAATTCGTTCATCCGAGTCCTTCCCGTATTTGGGATGTGTTCAACTATCTAGGAATGAAGACTGTATCTGGACCGCTGACCGGTTGAAGATTTTGAACGGACAATCCTTTCACTCTTGGGGATGTAAGCAACAAAAGAGTGCCATTATAGGTAGCTACTTGCATAGAATTGATCGGAATACTTCAGTAAGAGCTGAAATCCCGGACCGGGTCCTAAGATTGCAGTTGGAATTGGGTATGAAAGATTTCCCGAAGGAGTTTTTCATGCGAGTCCTTTCGAGTTTTGTTGTGGGATGTGGGGGCATTTGGCAAGCTGCAGTTCGTTTGCTCTTCTAGGGGTTTTCACATTGGGTATTTGGGTAATAACGATGATGTTTGTTTTCTATGTGATTGGGTGTCGGTCAGTTACCTACGTAATTAGATATGCTCAGACAGGGTTGACTCTGGGATCTGCGTATTTCGGGTGTAGGGTTTGTCAGTTTCTTTTTTCTTGTTGTGGTAGTTTTTGGGGTTTGCGTACCGAAGTTTTTCAGGCTTTGACCCTGGGACCATGCTATCGGGCCTTTCTCACACTAGGGACTTGGAGGGTACTTGGTTTCGAGCTGGTACCTTTCTGAAGTTGTTAGTAAGTGACCCTATGTCGGAGGCTTCCGGTAGCTGTGGTAGGACCATGTAGCGCCTAGCGATGAGCCTATAAATAAGTAGTAGGATAGTGTTAACGCMCTCTCGGGTCTGACGTTCGGCAACGGGCATCGTCGTCCGGAYGATGTTGCTCGAAGCTGACGGAAGTGGCTTGTGGTTCGACKGCGGTTCTTGGGATTGACGAAAAGTTTGGGTGGACCTGTTTCGTTTTCATTTTCCTGTGTACTTGTCGTCTACTTGCTTGTTTGGCGACTTCTTGTCGTCTACTGGTTCGTTTGGGCAACTCGATTGTCATCTCTGCGCGATTTGGCGTGTTGTGAAACATTATCCTCATCCATTCATCCTCTCGAGGAGGATGCAGGAATAGGTGCTATCTGGCAAGTCATCTGTGATCCTGCGAAGAGTGGTTGAAAATTCGGTGACCCTCGAAGACCGATGCTGGAGACCCAGCTTAGTGGGGGCGCGAGGCCTGGTAGAGAGCTCTGGGGGGCTGTTTGCGGGGGGAGTCCCAGTGGTCATCGGGGGTCGTAACTGGAGCAATGCTGGCCGGTGCTGGAGCAAGGTGGTGCAACTCTGTAACCTAACCTGATGGGAGTATGAGGCCTGGAAGAGCTTTGGTTAGTACTGAAAACATCCATGCTGGTGGTGGTCGCAGGTGGATTGATTAGGTTTCACCTATCTGATTTGTGGCTGGGAGGCTTTTTACTATTTCTTTTTATTTGGTTTGCCGCTTGAGAAGGTTGTAGGAATAGGTGCTATCTGGCAATTCATCTGTGATCCTGCGAAGGGTGGTTGGAAATTTGGCGGCCCTCGAAGACCGATGCTGGAGCAACGCTAGCCGGAGCCGGAGCCAGGTGGCGCAACTCTATGACCTAGCTTAGTGGGGGCGTGAGGCCTGGTAGAGTGCTCTGGGGGGCTGTGTGAGGGGCAGTCTCAGTGGTCATTGGGGGTCGTAACTGGAGCAATACTGGCCGGTGCTAGAGCAAGGTGGTGCAACTCTGTAACCCAACCTGATGGGAGCATGAGGCCTGGAAGAGCTTCGTTTTTTTGCTGAAAACAACCATGCTGGTCATGGTCGTAGGTGGATTGAATAGGTTTCACCTATCTGATTTGTCGGTGGTTCTTATGAATGTCTTACGACTCTAGGGACGCTTAGCAACCCATCCTAGGCGGTCTGAAGCGGTTATACTCAGTGATCTGCGGCTGTTCGATGCCATAACGACGCTGGCCGGTGCTGGGGTGATGCCCTGTAACCTGCTGATGCAGGAGCGTGAGGCCTGGTAGAGAGATCTGGGGATGCTTTGGGGTGGGCATCCCAAGGGACAGCCAAGGCTTGCTGCTGGGACGATGCTGGTCGGAGCTGGGGCGAGTTGTGTTGCCCTGTAACCCAGCAGGGTGGGGGTGTGAGGTCTGGTAGAGCTCAGCAGGGAGTAAGACTGTGTTGGAAAGTCTTAGAAGGGCTTGCTAGGGATCCTGAGGGTTGTGAGCTTTTGTAGGACCTCTGTGGTAGCCTATTGCATGTGTAGTTCCTTATTAGGTCATTAGATATTCACAGACTGATCTCAGTCGAAGCCGGGTAATGGCCCCGGTATCTCAAATGATCTCAATGTTCTCAAATGTTCTCAATGATCTGTACAGTTTGATATGGGACGCTGGGCCCGGTTCCCAGCACGTGCTGCTCCCCACGAATAGACTGGAGCATTTGTCTTTTAAGGGGAAAAAAAAAAAAAAAAAAAAGTGAAGGCGGGCGTGTGTCCACCCTAAGTGAAGGCCGCCAAAGGGTCTTTTGGGTCTGATCACAGGTACAAGTCCCTGTACTCACCGGTAGGCCCAGCTTGTGTGTTAGTTGTAAAGGCTGGCACCTATTGGGCC